CTGGTCTCAGGGGTAGAGCAAGACAACGCCCCCACCCCAACCCTCATGCCCACCAGTTGCTTGGTTCATTGGGGCCGGAGGATGAGTTGAGAATGGAAGCAGTGAAATGATCTATGGGACAATGTCGCCAAGCTTTCTCTAGATACTATCCTTTCCCCTGTAGTGTGGCTGCAAATCCCACTGTGATAAAAGCACCCAGCTCTGAGAGGAGAAACTGACACCCTACTGGTTAGAAAACAGTCATGCTTTGTGCTAATATTAGGCACTGTCGTCGAGCTCCCATTTTTTTTCTTTGCAAGTGCAATCAAGGAGAAGCACGTGTTGTGAGACACACGAGTGACAAATGATCCCATCAAGGCAAGGCGTTGGCCTGGGGCGGCACGCGTGCAGCATGGACAGCAGAGCTCTGTGCCCCAAAGCCTCGAGAAACAAGGTGGCAGGCGCTGACCCAGCCATCCCAGGCTGGGCGATCCCGCAGGAAGCCTTGAAGTCAATGGGGGTGGCCTGAGGCGACAAGCCCAGGAGTGGTTCCTTGCTGGAGACCCGGTTGTGGGCAGGCAGCCACGCGGTGAAGTCCTGTGTAGAGCGGCGACATCTGGGGCCCTGAGCTGCTCGTCGTCGGAGGGAGGCCAGAGAGCCAGGGACCATCACAGGGCAGCTTGGTGCTGGAGGGAAAAGGAGGTGTCTGGGAGCAGAGACACAGGCAAGCGGAAGCAGCTGGAAGTGAAGAGAAGGAGAGGGGGCGGGAACCTCTCGGGAGGAAGTGCTGTAAAGCAAAGCCGTAAAGCAAGGCGCTGCGTGGACGGCAGGCTCCCAGGGCAGGGAGCCCACGCCCTTAGCATTAGTGTGCGGCTCCGCCCTCCGCAGGAAGCCCTTTGAGGTAACTGGACAGGGCGGACACTGGGAAAGAGAAGGAAGGATTTGTGTAGTTTTATTGTGGCCAGAGGACGTCCCAGTGGAGACGCGGGCACTGAGGCGCCGCCTGGACTCGCAGACGTGGGGTGGTTCGTCCACCGCGGGAGCCCTCCTAAGGCCGCACGTGGGCGCACTGACCGAGGAAACCGAGGCTCGCCTGTGCACGAGGCGCGCCTCGTGGATCCCACGGCTCCAGCCTCCACAGTCAGTCCCTTGTCGGTGCCCCTAAAACCACGGCTGCCCTCGCATGATCAGATACCCGGGTCTGCACCATGTCCTCGTCGGAGGCAGGGTGCACAGGCTGTCTTGTGGCGCCCGCAGGGCAGGCAGCTCTGTGTGGGGAGCGGAGGAGCGGGGGACCTCACGTTGACAGTAGTGAGGTGTGCAGAGTGCCAGCCCGCAGCCTGGGAGCCTGCCTTGGGTGGGAGCGGCTGGGGGCGTGGCACCCTGCAGCAGGGACTTGGCATGAGGGGGCCCCCAGCAGGGAGAGGAGGAGCTGGGCTGCACTCCGGGGAGTGGGCCTCGGTGGTTCTTGAGACGCATTGGCACCCGGACCTGGGCTGCCTTTGAAACTGAGCTCCATTTGAGGGGTGAACCAACGGAAGGAAGACCTTTGTCTCTCTCCCTCACTGTCTAACTCTATCAAATACATAAAAAAGAAACTGAGATCCAGCTTCCGTTGGCAGGGCAGGGCCCTGGTGAGTCCCCAGCAGCACCGCAGAGAGCATGGGCTGTGGGTCACGCCACCCTGAGAGCCCGTGGCCGTCCTCTGGCGGCCCTACCCTGTGTACTGGGTAGACTCTGCCCAGGGCAGGCAAATACCTGAGGCCAGAGAACCTGCTGGGGCGGCTTTGTCCCACTGAAGACAGCAGGGACCCCAGCTGTTGGTGTGCAGCCCCACCCTCTTGCCCTGTCCTGGTGATTCCAGGACGCTCCCTGGGCCCCAGGCCTTTGATGTCAGCTAATGAACTCACTGTGTCCTCTGTGCTGGTCTGGCAGGGCGAGACCGTGTCCATGCTCATTCTGCAGTAAACCAGAGAAGGTGGGGGTGTGCCCGGGTCCCACAGCTACCGAGCGAAGGCGCACAGGACTGGCTGGGCCGGGGTTAAACCGGAGAACCATGGGAGCTTCCGAGGCAGCCCTGACAGCGACAGCGGCTGGCACCCAGGCCTCTCACTTTGCCCAGCTCTGACTCAGTGAACTCCGTGTTTTGGGGCCTCACATTCGTCCCTTTCTGGGGGGCATTGTGTGACCAGGGGCCCCCTGGTAAGGGAGAAGGATGAGAGCCGTGGGCAGTTGGCTCAGGTGACACCTGCCACTGTGGGCACGTGGGTGTTGCTGAGAAAACTGTCTGCAATTGGGGGAACAGGGCAGAAGGTGAGAGGCAGACCCCGTGCATCATCCTGGATTCCCGTTCAGGGTCCAAGCAAGAGGCTCCCGTCTTTGCTCTACTCACTGTTCACCATTGATTTGAGGCTTGCATTGCCCTGTAAACTGGTGCTTTTGTTTGTGTAAAAAAATGCAAATGATCCTGGGGGGAAGATAAACCTCACAGGTCGTGGTTTTTTTGGCCTGGCGGTCATTCACCAGCCTGGCTCAGCCACCCCCTTGCTCTGGCGCACACGTCACCCTCAAGGTCTCCCATGACCCATGGTTTCCCTCCTTGGGGCCCCTTAGGGCACTCAGTCGGTTTCTTAAGGTAGCAATGTGGATAAAGTGGTAAAGGGATGGTTCGGCCTAAAGCCCTGCCCCGACACTGCCCAGCACAGGCAGCACGTAGGAAGCTCTGTGCCTGCGGACTCCTGACAGATCCAGGTCTCCCTTCCATCTCTCTGTTCCAAGCATTTCTGGTGGTGACTTTGTGGTTTACCTTGAGGCTGGTGTGTCCTGCCTCTGTGTAGGATCTGTATGCAACACCCCAGGCATTACCTTCAGTGGTGGACTCCACATGTTGGTGTCAATGCTTTGGGAGCTGCCGTTTGGTCAGGCCTTCCAGAGCTGGTCAGACTCTGCCTTTGTGAACTGCGATTGGCTTTGAAGCCATCTGTGCCCGCTGAGAGGCCATCCCATCTGCCTGGCGGTCACCTGTCCACTTTCAGCTGGAACAGCAGGGTTGGGAGCAGGAAAGTGCTGGAGTTGAGAAGCATCACGGGGAGGAGGGATACTGGCCACGTGCCCCGTGTAGCGAGGAAGTGGCTTTTGGCCTGCAGAGTTCACAGAGCCGAGCAGGGCTTCTTTGTGTAGTGATGTCAGCTGCCACCCTCAGAGGAGCCGCTGCCTGTGTGAGAGTTGCAATCAGCAGAGCTGCTCCGGGCCAAGGTGGCTGACAGTGGAGCACCCCAGCCCTCGGCAGTCTCACGTGTCCCCCGAGAATGGGTAGTGTATGCCCGGCTGAGCAGAGTATCCCAGAGGAGGGGTGAGGAGTGAGGCTGAATGGAGCGTAGGCTCCACCACCCACCTGCTGCCTGACTGTAGGCAAGTCTCTCTGGACTCAGGTTTCCTAATCTCTAAATTGGGCATCTGTTCATGCCGCATAGAGTGTGTCTGCTTCTTTGGACTCTCAGATGAGATCATGGGGTCTGAGGGTTTGGCGTGGTGCCCGGCACTTGACGTGCCTCCACAAAATAGTGGTTAATTTAAGCATTGCCGTCTCCACCTGGGCGTCGACATGCACAACTCCTGAGCAGGAATTACAATTGTCTTCCCAGCAGTTAAGGGTGAATCAGACCCCAGGGCACAGGGCATCCAGGAGCCTGAGGTGGGAGCCACGGGAGGGCTGTTCTCCCTCAGGGACCCTGAGAGCGCTCTGGCTTGGACGATTGTTTGGAGCACAGGCCTCATTCATTCCAGAGTGGAGCTGGGTGTGCCGAGTATCATGGTGACAGGGTCTTGGCCCACTTCCCCAGGTGGCACAGGTGGGGTGGGGGAGGCAGCGTTGCCTCTGCATCACAGGGCCCTGCGGACTGGCTGTCCCCAGCGGGGTTTGCTGTGTGAGCCAGGCCTCCTCTCGTGCCTGCTTCCTGTCCTGCTCCAGGAGTTCCAGGGCATCCCCACATCCAGATCTTAGGTCAATCTCACCTCTCCAGAGAGGCCTCCCTGATCACCGGATGCAAATGTACCTGCTCCTTTCCTTCCTGGCCTTTCCCACAGCCCGCATCTGTCACACTGACTTACGTGCTGTTCATTGTCTGTCTCCCAACACCAGCACAGGTGCCCTGAGGACAGGAACTCACACACCTAGGACTGGGGCTGGTGTGTCCTAGGTGCTGAGTACACGTTTGTTGGGTGAGTAGGTGGCTGGAGAGCTGGAAGGTAGTCACACCTGGAGCACTCCCTTGTCACCGCCGTCCCCCCTCTGGGGTGTAGAAGTCACATTGGATGGGAAAGCTGGGGCTCTGAGTGACTGGCACACAAATCAAACTGCAGTCCCGTGCAAGGCCCATGGGTGGTCTCTGTGTCCAGGCAACCTTGGGCACATCTGGGAGTCTGAGCTGCACATGCATGGCTCTCCACTAGCAAGTCCCCAGCTCTGGGTCATTAAGAACCGTGACCATGACCTGGGTAAGGGCTACAGCCCCCCAGTGCATTAAAGATAAAGTGTATAGGGGTAGACATTGCTCTACTGGTTAAGATGTCAGTCAGAATGCCTGCTTCCTGTATCAGAATGCCTGGGTTCAGTTCCCAGCTCCGGCTTCTGATTCCAGCTTCCTGCTGATGTTGACCCTGACGGGCAGCTGCCTACTACACACCTGGGAGACCTGGATGGAGTTTCCAGCAAGTAGCTTCAGCCTGCCTCAGTGCCAGCTGTTGTGGACGCTTGGGGAGTAAACCAGTGGGAGTTGGGTTGGTTGTCCCTCCCTGCCTCCCTCCCTCCATGTGTAAGGGACCGTTGGTCCCTGTACAGCACCCCTGTCTTACAAAAGCTGGGTGCAGCTGCTGTGCCAGGCCAGGGTTCTTGGGACTGCAGCACAGTTTCTGGTCCTCTGCAGGCACGTGTTGGTCTTCCTGGCCTGTGGTGAGCAGTCTCCCTCCAGCCACTCTTTCCCCTCACTGTGACTTCACAGTGGGGTGAGATGAGATAGTGGGGGTGCAGCCCAGGTGCCTGGAAGCACCGAAAGCCTCTGGGACGAAGCCCAGGAAGTGCCTCCAACTTCAGTCTGGAGCAAGCCCACCTGAGACCTTGCCAGGGAGGGGAGAGGTGGGACTCGTCAGTCATCACACTGGAGATCAGTTCTCAGACATGGAGAAGCTGCATGGGCTAAGAAGTACCAGCAGGCACTCAGCACCCACAGCACAGAAGCCACTGGCTTTCTCCTGGTCTTAGTGTGTTTCCCGCTGCTGGAGGAGAACGTGATGGGCAGGGGGATTCTGAACAGTGGGAGTGTACATGGCTCACGGTTCCAGAGGCTGGCAAGTCCAAGAGCAGGCACCAGCCTCTGGGAGGCCTTTGTTCTGTGTCATACCCAGCAAGAAGTGCCTGAGAGGCAGAGGTGGGAGCCAGCCGGATTCACACTTTCTGCCAGGAACTCGTGCCAAGGATGGCGTGAATCTACTCATTACCTCTCAAAAGCCCCACCTCTTTGTTTTAACGGCAGTTATATCTTAACGTGAAGGCCAAGTGTTCGTCCTAGTGATTAAGGCACCAGTCGGGACTCCTTCATCCCAGGTCAGAGTGCCTGGATTCGAGTCCTGGCTCTGCTCCTGACTCTAGCTTCCTGCTAAGGTGCTCCCTGAAAGAGACATCAGGTGTGTGGGTCCCTGCCACCCACATGGGGACCTAGATTGAATTCCTAGCTCCTGGCTTCAGCCCAGCCCATCCCCAGCTGTTGCAGGCATTTGGGGAGTGAAGCAGCAGATAGAAGCTCTCTCTCTTTGTGGACTTCAAACCGTAGCAGCCCTGACGTGTCATTTGGGACGCAGTCCCTGCGAAGGGAGCACTTGTTGGTTTGCATTGGACTAGGAGCCAGTCGGAGAACCTGAGTCAGAGTCTGGAAGCCAAATGACCCAGCTGTGTGCTCTTGGATGTGGGCAGTGTGGAAGAAGTAACAGGGCAGGGTCTCTGCTCAGAGGAACCAGGTGCCACTCTGTTAGGGGCATAGCTCAGGGTCCCCCTCCTGTGCTCCCCTCCCCTGGTCTCTGATGTTCTTAGCACGGGCCCCGGTGAGACTCACAAAGGCCATCTACAGCACCAAGCGTTACAATGGACTCGTTTCTCCTGCACCATGACTAAGGTAACAGATCCCATTTCTGACCGTGTTCAGTACATCTAATTAGTGTTGAAAAGCAGCTTCTTTGGCAAGATGATCAGGCTTTAACCCGGGTAAACGGCTTTCTTTATGACTGTGAGTTAGCACACTGTAGCTTTCCCGTGCGCCGTGGTTGTCCTCGTAAATACTGGAGGCAGTCGCGGTGGGCTCACCTGGTTAGCTTTCTCATTACTGTTTTATTGTCTTCCTCGTAGAAGCGGGGAATCCATTCTGTGCTAATGACAGGGAGGAAGTGGTGACGCGGGGCTTGCTTTAATGAGACCATCCCCTGCTGTGGTCAGCGTGTGGAGACCATGGATGACCACCTGTGGCTGTGGTGGGTTTGATTCGGGGCTGACCGCACCTGGGGTGCTCCCAGCTCCCTGCAGAGCCTGCTGGCGCAACCGTAGTAAAGGGCATATGCACGGCTTAAAGCACTTTTGCCGAAATTGCAAATAATTAGGGATCAAATATTTGCCAAGAGCCACTTTCCGTGTCAGGGATAATCTGAGTGTTCCTGATGACTTCCCCGGCCACAGTTGGGACAGGTGTTTTCGTGACACTGACCTCTCTGAGCATTCCCTGTGGGGAGAGCTGCAGCAGCAGTCCCACCTGCGTGCTCGCCACACATGGCCACTCAGAGGGAGTGCCCACTTTCTGCACCTGGAGATGCCTCAGAGGAGAGGGTCGGCCGCAGTGGGTTCTCCCTTGTCCACGGTAAGCTGGCTTTGGCATGACTGCCCAGGTAAGATGGTCTCTCAAGTGCCTTCTTCACAGGAGCCTGGTTCCCTTTAACACAGAAGCGCCACCTCCAACCTCCTTTTGCCTCCAACCCCATTGGAGGAGATGGGGATGTCTGCTAAACCTGAGTGTCCTGGTGTCACCCAAGGACAAAGGGCCAACAGCTCTGGGCTTCCTGAGGCCTGTGTCTGGGGCAGAGCGTGGGGATTGAGAGAGAGGACACTTGGGCTGGAGCGAGCAGTGAATGCCTCCTAGGAAGTAGACCCCAAAGGTGAGCTGGAGCTGATTTAGCCAGGTTAGGGGAGCTGAGGTTGAGGGGCGGGACAGCACAGCCCGAGCAAAAGACACGGAGCAGGCTCTGAGAAGCTGGGGGCTCAGGGACAGGCTCTGTGTCTTCAAAATGGGGCAGGGACTTGGTTGCCAGCCAGCTGCATGGAGAAGTTTATTAAACAGTGATCCAGCAGCATTGCTGTGTGTCCTGGCCCTGTCTGGGGAGAAAAACAAAGGCTGGTATTTTTAGAGCCGTATTAGCTTCTTCTGATAGCCGCCAGCACTTTATCAGGTAACAATTTTCCAGCAACCCAGGAGAATCGTGCTGATCAAACACACGTGGTGGCAAAGGAACCATAAACTCGGCAAGCAGGGCCTCGGTCTGGCCTCAGTCCAGAGCCTTGCCTGCCAAGCAGCTGCCTCCCACTGCTCTGCAGAAGCAGAGTGGCTGAGGGATGCCACCGGCCTTGGCCACACCGGCAGTGACACATGAATTAGCAGAGTAGGTGAAGGAAGGCAGCGTGGCCTTCTAAGGGCCTGCACTGTTATGTGCTGCAAAGAGGTTTTGACCTCCTGGTTTATTATGATTCCAGAAAAGTCAATATTTCCTAGCTTGACAAATCTAGGAGAATGTAAATGAGTTATTGAATCAAGTTGTTAATCTGCCAATAGATGATTTTTTGTCCTTTCAAATCTATGATGATGAAATGCAGACTTTACTGGAAACAAGAGAAGAGCCATCCTTTTCTTCCTTAGATATTGTAATCCCACGGGGTAGGAGCCGAGTCTTCACTACTGGGCCGTTCTGTCGTGCTGAGTGTTTTGAAGATTTAATTAAAGCAGAGACTGCTGTGGCCATCATATCTGCATGCATGTTCTAATGATTTGTATCTTAATATCCCTTTGTAATTTCCAACTCCTGCCTTTGACGATGCGTGACAGTTGTTTGGTCTGTGGAACCCTGATAGAGTAGAATACAGCGTCGGTTGTGGAAGCCTGGCTGACCGTTCACTTAAGTGTGCTCTTGTGGAAAGAAGCCACCAGCTCTGTGACGTGTGAGCTCTGAACACCGCTGCCTGAGGTCACTGAGGTGTGTGCTGAGATCAGGGGACACCCCAGCATCTCAGCCTTCTTGCCCATGGCTACAATGCAGTGCTAGAAAGGCCAGGGCCATGGACGCAGGCTGACCATCTGTGCTACAGAGAATCACGTGTTCCCAGACAGCAGCACTCACCTGTCTCCCCAGCCCTATCCTGAACACTTAGGGTCCCACTTTCTTCTTAAGCCACAGTTCCTCTCGTGACCCTGCACTTGCTCCCCACTGTCTCTGATACCCACCTGAGTTCCTCTGCTTGGCTAAGTCTCCTTAGAACCACCTCTTGCCTCCTCTCTTCCTCTCACTGTTGTGCAGAACTTCCATTCCCATGAGGCACATGGGCCAGGGGAGCTCTGGCTTGCACCTGCTGTGGCCCAGGGAGAGCCCTGGTTCTCTCAGTCCCGGGGGTCCATGCTGCCCTCCCTGGGCTCCCATAGCTCATTGCCTGATGTTCTCTGTGGTTTTTGTCACTTTCAGATCTAAGTTATGTGTGCATGTGTGTCATCCCTTAACAGAATGACAGAGAGAGGCAAGGTCATGGCTTGTTCCTTTCGGGGGCTCCTATGGTTCCTAGCACACAGCCTGGGTCAGAGGCATCACATAATGAAAGAAAAGAGGGAGGGAGAGAAGGGGGGAACCATTTTTTTTTTAAATCATCGGTTTCAGTAGGTGTGTAGTCAGGCTGTTGTCTCGGGGCCTGGACGCGTGGGCACAGGCTTTGTTCTGCTCTGTAAGGCACTTCGTGGTGAGCGTAGAATGGCTGAGTGTCCTCATTTTCACATGGCAACAAGAGCTTATCCAAGCCCTCATGCCCAAAGCCTGTCGGGCACCCCAGGCCCCCAGGCCCCACCGTGGCTAGCCTTGTCTTCACAGGTAGCCCGTGCCCACTGCCTGCTACCCCCTGCACCATGCTGGTGACTGACACTCTGTGTTTGTGCTTGGCAGGGCTTCCTGGCCACAATGGACCACTGGCCTCCTGCGGGAAGAAGTTTTGCAGCCGCGGCAGCCGATGCGTGCTCAGCGGGGCCACCAGGGAGCCCGAATGCCGCTGCCTGGAGGTGTGCAGGCCCAGCTACGTGCCCGTGTGTGGCTCCGACGGCAGGTTTTACGAGAACCACTGTGAGCTCCACCGCGCAGCCTGCCTGCTGGGGAAGAGGCTGTCCGTCACCCACAGCAAGAACTGCTTCCTCCAAGGTAGGCCTGGCCCCTTGGAGGCTACTCCAAGGTAGCCCTTCTGGGCTCTGGGGTCCATGTCTTCATGTGCGTTGACAAGTGAGCCTGTGCTGAGTCAACAGGTTAGGTGGATAAAGGAAGTAAAGACGGAAACGGCCATACCGGTGCAAAGTGGCAGCAGTGGCGTTTCAGTAACGTGTGACCCTGTCTGCACTCCAGAGTGCCCTGCCCTCAGAGGAGGCTCCTTGGAGAGCAGAATCCAGGGAGGCACAGCTGAGGCTGGTGCAGCACATGTGTCCCTTAGGGACCAGATGGCCAGTGGTCACCCAGCTCTCCTCATGGGCGGGGCCCTTGCCCGGTGGCAATAGGAAACTTGTTTATCCCTCAGACAGGGCCCCCGAGCCAGGAGGCTGTGCTGTCGTGCATGGGGCTAGCACAGTGATGTCCGCATGGCCTGGAGCTGTTGCAGATGGGAAAGTATCGCACGCCTTTCCTGTTCCAAACACCTGTGAACAGGGCAGGCAGCCCTGTGGCCATGAGGAAGTGTCTGAGGCACTTGTGCCGAAGGGCTCAGGCTTTGTACTCGTGCTGGTGGGGAGAGGAGGGCGGCGCCCGCTCCCACATTGGGAAGAGCCGCAGGCAGGCACGGGGACTATCATCTGAACCCATCAGGTCTCTGCACCCAGCCCAGGGCTTCTCACACTCAGATGCTTCATGGCTCACAGAAGCTTGGGGGTATAGAGTTAGAATGTGCATCCCTGGGCGGGGTGGCCCCCATAGGTCGTGCACCCCACGCTCCGTAGAAGCAGTGGTTGCCCTTCAACAGCACAGCCCCTTGTGGGGAAGTTGGGGAACGTGTAGAAGGCACTGGTGGAACGTGGGCAGCTGGGTGCAGGTCCATAAAGACCGAGCTGGGGGCATGGGAAGTGAAGTCAGAGACCTGCTGGAGTGGGGCAGGGAAGGAGGGGAAGGCTCAGGATGGAGACCTGCCTGTGCCTGTGATGCTGGCGCACAAGGTCTTCTGTGCGGTGTGCACCGCGGGGGGCTGGGCGCTGAGAGCGCAAGGGCCGAGCTGCTGCCTCCCCGTCACCTGAGGCTGGTATGACATGTGACTCACGTGTGTGTGGCGGTGCTCCCAGCCAAGGCAGGGAGCCCAGGCCACCTGCCCCCATGCACGGGCTGCCCTCCCACCCTGATGCAGAGGCAGTGGCAGCACCGGGTGCTGGAGCAGGCAGGCTCCGGAAAGGCGCGTTTAGCCTCCAAGGCGGTAGTGCTGGGCACTTTGATGGCTGAGCTCGGGTCACTGACACTGAGGTGCTTTCGAAAGCGTGAGGTGCATGATGGGAGCGAGGCCAAGCTGGGGGAGAAGCAACAGCCCTGGGCTGGGGGCGCACCTGCCCGCTCCTCAGCGTTGTGCACACTGCCGCTCCTGACGCTCCCCCGTTGCTCCAGCTTTATTGGCCATGTTGAATTTCAGAGACTGATATTCCATTCTCTGGTTTCCAATCTGCCCCAAATTGCATCTTTCTGAAGGTTTTATTTTGGCATCAGACTGTGCACCGCGCCCCTCACCACTGGCTGTTTCTCTAACAGTGTTTCTCATTTCATGGGGTGGGGGTGGGGGTGGGGGCAGAAACAACCCCGCCAAACCTGCCTTGGGGAGGGAGGATGGGGCGAGCTGGGGAGGGAAGGGGCCAGCCTTGAGCAGATGACAGTCACTTCTGCTTCCGGTTGACTGAATTTGTCCACTGAATCCTTCTGATTCGTTAGGTTTTTCACAGGACTTGGAAATTTTCACCCACTCGTGTTGGAGGCGCTGCTCTCCCAAAGATCCCTCTCTGGGGGAGGGCAGTGCCCGTGGCTCCGTGAAAGCCCTGGGTTGTGTCTGGGCTCTGGTACTCCCCAGATGTGCAGCCCTGGGTGCCTCTGTACCTGTCTCTGGGCCTCTGCGTCAGCTGCATCTTGGGGCTGACGGCAACACTGCCTGCTCGGTAAACGTAGGGAAGAACGTGCTGTGGAAAGGCCGCGAGCTCAGTGCCTGGCGGGTTGCAAGTGCTGGGTGTTCCTGACGCCTGCTGTCAGCGTTGCTGCAACCCAGTGTGGCTGCAGGCCTGGAGCAGAGACACGGGAACAAGGACTCTGTCCTGGAGGCTAGGCGGGTATTCCTGAGCCTGGATGGCTTAGGTAGAGGGGAAGTCGGCGAGGAAAGCACTGAGTGTGAGCCCCCAGGCCCAGCTGGAGCCAGGGTCTGTCTTCCGCAGACCTGGCCCTGGGTCCGCGCTCCCTGAGAAAACTCCAGAGCCTGGTGCTGGGGTCAGCCCCCGTCCCAGCAGTCAGGAGGGCCGGGCTGCCTCCTCTTCTGGCATTCCTCCAGAGAGGCCTGATGGGCGGGAGGGCAGGCCCACCCTCGGGAGTGGGGGCACTGTCACATGGGCAATTCTGCATTTTCACCAGAACTCACCGTGGCGCCAGCAGGCAACAGGGAGAAAGCAGTGGTGGCGGCCGGGCTGGGGAGGCAGGGGAATGGGGTTTGGGGAGAAAAGAGGAGGTGAAGCCCAGCTCCCTCCCCGGTCCCCGCCCCTCAATCGCAGCAGAGTATTTACTGCCAGCTTGAGTCCCACTGTGGCAGTTTGTCATCAGCTGTGTCCCGAATTTTCCAGAGAGTCAGTCACTAAGACAGCAGCTTAAAGACATCTTCCCCAAACAAAACTTCTGAAACCATCCATCTGCCATTCTCTGTTCCTAACAGACTTTACGAAGCGAAGTTACGACTTCATTCTCTGCGACTCTGTGTGCCCCCGAAGCTAATAGTAGGGCAATCCTTATGGCACTGGTGTGTGAGGAGCCCAAGGGAAAGGGGGTGGGGAAGTGGATCATGCTGGGCCGAGCCTCTGTGTCTGTGGGGCCTGAGCTTCTGCAGAGCGCTGGGTGGGGGTGGGGACTGGCCCACACAGCTCGGCAAGAGGAGGCTGCGCTGCTCGCCCCTTTTATAAGAAAACTTCGGGTATTACATCCTGGTTGCTATGGCAATGGGATTCCTGGTGAATGCAGAATGAAATATTCTGTCATTTAGGGTTCATTAGCACGTACAAAAATCCAGCTGAACTCCAACGTGCTGCTGAGCTGCGGTCTGCAGCTTTGATCCCAGCTCTCTCAGTCAGAAGCGTCTTGGTCCCCAAAAGTCAGGGGCAAGGAGAGGAGAGGGAGAAACGTCGCGCCTCTTTGTTCTTGTGGCTAAGTTAGAGTCCGGCGTCCTCAGCGCCACCCACTGCCGAGAGAGGGCACCAAGACGTGGGGCGGCCCGATGAGCAACTTGCCACGGAGTTTGTGTTGCAGAAGCCGTCGTGTGACCCCGCGTGCCTGCTTGCGTGCTGGTTCTGCCCCGACTTCTCAGACTTGTTTCTGAGTCCTTTCTCTGTCTCTCATGCCGTTCAGGAAGAGGAGCTTGCCTTTGCACCCTCACTCCCCACGCCGGGCTGTTTTGTGCAGGGTGATAGAATGTTCCGAGCAAACCTGGAAAGCATGGGAGAGAGAAGCCAGTGAGAGTCTCCGCTCCCGGGGCCGGGCTGGTGGCTACCTCTGGCCGAGTGGCATTTGCAGGTGCTCTGGTGGCCTCAGACGGCAGTTCCCAAGCTACTGAAAGCAGAGGAAATGATTTACTTCTGTAGAGAGCAAGTAGAACACACGACAGGGTCTGTCAAGTGTGACTAAGCAGGCTTGAAAGCTCAGCATCTTGCTTAGGAAGAGCTGCCCTTTGTCTTGTTACGTTGTCCCTGTTGCTATTACTATGGACTCTGTTGCCTTAGGAACTTAGAGTAGCCCCGCCCCCCGGAGTGGGGGTGTTTCTGGATTCCTGAGTCCCCCTGCCCTGCCAGGGAAAGTCTCTGTGCCGGCCCAGCCTGGCTGTCAGCAGGGGATTCCGTTCCTGGGATGTGTGAGGCCCTGCTGCAGGGCTGCAATGTTGGCAGGCGCTGCTGGGGAGTTGGGGTGAGCTCTGCCATAGCATTCCCTACAGCAAGGGGTGCTGGAGTCTGAGTGAGCCCACAGAGGCCCAGGTCGATGGGACAGTGAGTCAGTTGTGTCGCTTTGGACAGGACACACGCTCTCTGAGCCTTGCTCACCTGCTGTGCAAAATGGAAATAGTGAAGTAGCTGCTGGTGGAGGAAGGTGAGTGTGAAGTGAGCAGTGCCTGGCGCCTAGTGGGCACCCTGCTCGGAGCCATCCCAACAGCACCTGTGGTGATGTTGCTGTCGCAAACGTGAGAGGTCATCAGCCCCCTGCCTGCCTGTGTGATGATGTTGTCTGTGAGCTGAGGTCACCGTGCTGAGTCTTCCTGTGAATGGGGGCCTGGGGGGAGAACGGTGGTCCTCCACGTCCATTCAGTGAACAACTAGGATTTGATGCTCATGCTCCCTGGCCATCTTGGCTCTTTGAATGGCGAGGTCATGAGTCACTAAGCCCCTCTAGGAGGCAGTAGAGAAGCCAGGGGAGAGCCAGGTGTCCCTGCTTCCCAGGCTCGTGGGAGTCCTGGGAGTCTGTCAGGGCGTCTGTCAGGGAGTGTCAGCCCCAGGGTGGGAGGGACATGTTCAGAGAAAGCTCTGGGGAGAGCAGATGTCTGAGATGGACCCTGAAGGGTGTGTGTGTGTGTGTGTGTGTGTGCGCGCGTGCGTGCATGCATGCATGTGTGTGTGTGTGATGATTGTCTAGGGCTACAGTCTCAGGGCAGAGCTAGGGATTTAAGGGTAGGTCCTGGGAGACACAACGAGAAAAGCTGCAGTAAAAGCAGACAGTGGACCAGAGCAAGCTGGGGGGTCGGGGGGAGGTTTGTGTGCCAAGCCAGGGACAGGTGCAGCTTGCTCATTTCCCGGGGCGGAGGGTCTCTCAGTCACAGGCATAGCCAAGTCCAGGGTCCAGGCTCTACTGCAGCAGCCGGCCCTTCAAAGGCACCTCAGTTCTGGGGCTGTTATCAGTGGCATCCCAAGACCCTGGCACATGCAGTCACTTCACCCTTGGCTCTGAGC